CTATAGGGCGCGTGTGCTCGCCAGACAGAGAGAGAGAGACAGAAAGTGAGAAATCACCCCAGGGGGTGATTTCCCTTCTCCATTCTCCTCTCGGGATCTTGGGCACGCACGCACATGTGCCTGGCGTGAGTTTTAAGCCACTGGGTCCGGGACGCGAACCGCGGTCGACTACGTGGGAGTCCAGTGACATAGCCATTACGCTAACTGCTGGTTCCCATGAAATGAAATTTTCTTAGAGCATAATTCCTGAACTGTGGTCTAGCTGGAGCATGAGAGAGAAAACGAAACAGCCTAGCAGAACTCATGGTGCTGCTTGAACAGTAAGTAGTACCTGCACTTGGTGTTTTTCAAACACAACCAAGAAAAGGATGTAGACAAAAACTCTTAGCAGAGCACCATGGCTAATGCGATGCCGAGTTTCTAAACTCCTGGCCACATTACACCATCTTGGAGCAGAATCTCTGCTTATATCTCATTACTCAGAATTTCTGACTGCAGTTATAGTAGGACTTCGATTAACATATGGGGAAAGCAAGGCTTTCATTGTGGCTCGCTTGATAGACAAGAGCCTTTACAACAATGAGGTTTGTGAGAAGAACAGTCCAGAGAATATATAAAGGAAAAACTGGGACACCTTTTGCCTTGACGTCTCCCTTGCTGATCGTTGAAAAGTTGTCGGAGTTTTTAACGGATGTTTAGGTCTTTACGGCTGGTAAACGGAGTACGCTGGCTATGGAATGACTACTGGGACACAGGTGCTTTTGTGGACTTGCAGAAACTTTTGCCTACATCTCTGCAATTTACAGCTGGGGAGCAGCCTGTTACTAATTTTACCCGATCATGGACTGTGCATGGACTTGAATTAGCAAAGTCCTCCCGAGAGGTCGGTGGATGAAGCAGTCCCAGCGTGAAAAATCGTGGCAGGTTGTCCTGTCATCTTTCAGTTGTGTGAACAGGACAGAAGCGAGAAGGGGAAGTCTGAGCAGGTGAAGAGGCAGTTCTTGGAGGGGGATGTGTTCAGACGCACGGCAGGCTTCCTCTCCGGGAAAAGCCCTCGGGTCACACCTGCAGACCTCCTGGGCATGCAGGATGCCTGTGACCAGGGCTGACGTGTGACCAGGGCTGACGGAGCCGGGGGCTGGCTGGGCCTTCATAACCCTGTTGTCTGTCATCCTGTGTTTCTACCTCAAAAACTAAAGGAAAAAAATGCCAGTTTTCTTCACCAGCTCGGCCTAACGAGGGAAATTTTCCTGCTTTCATTGAAACTGGAAGGAATCTGTTTCTACTCTAGCAGCAAAAGACATAGACATTGGGAGCAGAGCCCCAGGGCAGGCTGCCTGGGACCAAATCCCAGCCCTGCTTCTTAGCTGGACAGCTCTGGGGCACCCCTTTCCCTCTCTGTCTCAGTTTCCCCATCACAGAGCAGGGACCCCTGCGGGGCACCCCTTTCCCTCTCTGTCAGTTTCCCCATCACAGAGCAGGGAGCCCTGCACATCTCAGGTGCCTCTGAGGCTCCCCGGGGTCGATGCACACTGACAGCCGTCCCAGGTCACAGGGAGCACTGCACAGCCATTGCTGTCATTGCCTCATTAGGACGTCAGTCCCTGAACTGGGGACGTCAAGTGGAAACCTGGAATTGCTGAAGCTGAGCATTTCCTTCTAAAGATGGACAAACAGGAACGCAGGACAGTCAAGATCGAGTGGCACAGGGGTCAGCACCAGCCCAGGTAGCAGGGCTCTGAGCAGCTGGGAGGTGCGGCTCAGGTCCGGGTTCCTCCTGCCACATGTGGCCTCCCTGTGTGTGGCCGTCGCCCTGTGGTGGGAACGTGCCTGAGAGGGAGGTCTGCACAGCCAGTGAGGTTGAAGGAAACTAGGCGTCAGCCAGACAAAGCCAGAGGAGACGGGAGGCTTGTTTAACACCCAAGATGTGAGCTGTTCCACAGCCTCAGTGGATAAAACACCTGGCTTTACCTTCCGCTTCTCCCTCCCCCTGTGCCCTATAAAGGAATGAACCTGGCAACGGCTCTCTCCGTCAGAGATGCCCGGACCACCCAGTCTCCCCTTTTCTATACTCACGTGTCTGTTTCTTTCTAAGCCACCATCGCTGTCCCTCAGGTCCACATCTCCCCACTGACAGGTCGTGGCAAAGTCTCTTAAGAACATTCTCAATTCTTCAGATTATCCTTACTAATGAAGCAATGCATGCTTTGCTTTATTTTGTTTCTCTCAGTTGAAGGTGAGTGAAAGGAAAGATAGATGATATTAGAGTATAAATATATATGTAGGTATAGGGTCTGTATTCAGAAAGTACTGGCTTTAACTTTTGACTTTTACTTTAAAAATAGTATTTTTGATCAGGTGACTTTTCCAGTCTATAAACTGTGAGCCATAATTGCGCCTAATTCAGAGGCCTCTTAGAGAATTCATAGATGACCTGGTGCGTGGTAGAAACTCACTGAGTTTCTATTCCATCCTAGCTCATCTCTGGAGACCAGTAAGAATAGAGATCACTGTTAGCATTTCTGCGTGTGTGTGTGTGTGTGTGTGTGTGTGTGTGTTTGCGCGTGTGCGCACATGGGATGGGGTTATCCACTGTCCCTGAAGTAGAGCTACTAACTAGAGCTACCTAGAGCATGTGCCTAGGCTGTTGAAGACCTGTATGTACCAAGTGTAACCAACCCACGTAATCATACCACACCTCCAGGAAATGGCATTATCACCTCCTTTTAAATGAGGGAACTATGGAACACCAAGTCATAACTTGCACAAAGTCACACGGATACCAAGTGCCAGGCCCAAGATTCAACCCAGACTCTGGGACCAGACTCCATGTGCTCCGCTCCTCCCTCACTCTTCTCTCTGGGGGACATTGTGAGCATCAGGAACCATGGTGTAGGACAGAGGTGAGCTCACACAGTGCAAGGCCTGTCAGAGCATCCACTGGCCACTGAATTCTCCAAATAAATCCGAACCTGGAGGCCTTTGGAAGAGGAGCAGTCTGGGCCTCTTTACTTAGCTGTTCTTCTCCTAGAACCAGTGCCCCAAGAAAAGCCTCAAAACCACTATCTTGGAGAAGAACTAGGAACACGGCACTGGACCAATGTTACAGCCAAGGCTCAATGTCATCACTCAGTTGTCAGCCGTTCCTTGCCTTGGGCTTTCCGTCCATCTCATCAAATTGAAGGACACATGGACCAAAAGAGACTTTTGATTACTTTTATTGTGCCTATCATGAAAAGCAAAGCTCGGAATGCACGAGCAACGACAGCAGAGTCAACGTATGTTAAACAGGCTTCCCGGGAGTTACCTGATTAAAGGTCCTGGGGGAGGTGACTAGCAGCAGTGCTCAGTCTGCACTGGGGCTGTGACCACGTGGCTGGGCCGACACAGCTGATGGAGGGAACGCAGAGGGTGGTGTCAGGCTGCCGTGGGCTGCTCCTTGTTATTGTTACAGAGTGAGGTCTCCTCAGTCGACGTGCCTAGGGCGACACAGTTGATGGAGGGGACGCAGAGGGTGGTGTCAGGCTGCCGTGGGCTGCTCCTTGTTATTGTTACAGAGTGAGGTCTCCTCAGTTTGCCCCCTGTTAGGAAACCCACTATACTATAACTACATGAGAGAATAATAGTACACAGGGAAACTGAAAGAGCCCAAATGCAGAGCGAAAGCCCAGCAAGGTCCCCAGTGGACCCTGTTAGGGCTGATACACAGTGATGAAAGGAGGACCCCTTTTTGCCTGTCTGCTAAGAATTCTTTCCAGTGCCACAGACAGCTGCTCTTCTGAACAGACAGATGGCGACAATGGCAGAGTAGGCCGCACTCTTGAGGAGCAGGAGGAGGTAGGTGTAGTACGCGGAGGCGTTGGTGAGCTGCAGCTGCAGTGCATCTGAGAGAAGTCATTTGATTAGTTTTATATTATTTTTTTTAGGATAAGACAAATTATTAGATCACAAAAATGTTATTTCTGATCGTCTACATTGAAGTGATATTCGACTACCACCAACACCAAACATCAACATCTGCAATGACTACGGCTGTCACAACAACAGCAGCGTAAGTCTGAATTCAAGCTTGCAGGTCAAGTTGGCTAATAACCTCTGCTAAATTCACTTAGAGCATTCCAAATATGAAATAAATAGCCCAGCTCCATAGTACAGTGCTTGAGTGCAGTGCACTCAGAACCAGATTGCACGTGGCTAACCATAGTTCAAATCCTGGCCCTGCAGACTTGAAAGAAGCATCAGGTTTATGTGCACGTTTGCCAAATCCTGCTAAGATGGTGACGTGAGGAAAGGTGGTCATGGCGTAACCAGGCCTCACTGGGTGTTGCGTTCTCCCTCTCTCTCCCTCTCTCCCTCTCTCCCTCTTTCTCTCTCGCACATTCCTTCTAACAATGAAAAAATATTAAGAAGTAAGATCACACATTTAATGAATGAGTCTAATGGCAGAAAATGGTATTTGAGAAAACTTGATTTTGGATTTCTTTGCCCACAGAATGTCTCTAAGTGATCATAATAAATAACATTCCTTATCCACCAACCAAGTGTAAAACACTATTTAAAAGCTTTGCATGTAAAGTTTTAATCTTACTTAATCTTTTTAACCACCTACCGAGACAGAGAGAGGTTATTTTTATTACTGTTTATAAATACAACGAGCACATGAAGAGAGGTAACGGGCCGGAAGTTGTGCATTTAGTAGGTGACAGAGCCCAATTTCCACCCAGCACCATGAACTTAAAGGACATATTTTGACTCCTCTGTAATTCTGCATCTGCAAGTTCAATAAAATCTCAGCCATCCCAGACGTTAAAAGGTTAAACATCAACATGAGGTCGAGTTGCTGGTTTGGAAGCCTCTGAACCGTTACGCATTGCACACGTCCTGACATTGCCAGGAAGGGTGCAGCCTGCGGAAACGTGGCAGCCGCAGATGACTGAGTGGGAAGTTTTCGAAAAGGAGGCATTATGGAGAATAGCGTGATCCACCCAGGCCCTCTGAGATGTTGGGTGGCTGTGGCTCATTCACGTCTTCCCTCACTGCTGCTTCTGTGGCTGTGACATTATCGGGTAATTGCATTTAATAGCCTTTGTCCTTTTGTAAGAAGTGTATGATGTAAAAACATAACAAAAGATAATGATGGTAGGTCAGGCTGCTATCTAATGAGTTCACTTCCTGTGGAAATTGCCATTGTACATGTTCTGTCTTCCTAGAGTCAAATCTCCAGAATCATCAGCCTTGGTATGGGAAGGGACCTTAACACATGAGATGCCCTAACTCCCCGCCTTAGTTGGCTGAGGTGTTAGGACCCCACACAGCCTGGTGGGCAGTTAAATTCCAGGGCCTCTTTGGTACCTGAAACAGAGGAAAGGCCTGCTGGGCTGGAACCCCAAGTCTTTTTACACATGTAAGAAAGAAGGAAAAGCTAGTACTTTTTTTGTGTCTGCTACGTGAGGTTCCCCCGTGCTACACATTGCACAGCTGTGCCTCATCTCCTCAATACTGGGAACTCATTGTCATTATTCTCAGTTGGCAGATAGGCATTAGAAAACATCGACGTTATTTCTGCATGGCTGTGTACTAATCCTTAAAAGAACTGGGGCTGAAATCCAATCCATGGCTCTCCAAAGCCCATGCACATCCCCTCTCCCCAGCACATATTTGTCATATTCCAGGGCCTTGCTTGGCGTTGGAGTTTCTTGCTCTCTGACTTTAGCTTAGAGGAAAACTAGAGAACCTAGTGTTTGAGCTCTTCATTCAAGGGCCTGCTTTGAAGTCCCAGATCGAGCTTTGTGATATGTGTAGAGACCTAGTTATCTGTAACATGGAAGAAAATATTATATTCTGAAGGTTAAACAAGGAAACGCATGTAACACATAGCCTCCCCCCCCAGAAGGGGCTATGTGTTACAAAAATCAGTAAGTGCTAGTTTGGTTATTGACTACTACAAGAACAAAAAGAGTTACCCTCCAAAATTCTAGAAGTAATTTGATACTATGCTTTCCTCAGTCCTTGGACACAAAAACTACATGGATGAAACTTGTTTGTTGAAACAGTTCAGAGCATGTCATGAAACCCTAGGCCGGCAGTCCATGGTGTTGGTCTGACTCCTGGAGAATGATGGATTAGTTTACAGTATCCCTTAGTCTGATCGGCAATGTCCAGCCATTCTGACTTTTCAACCTAAAACTAGGGAAGCTCAAAAATTAAGTTCATCAGAAAGGGGGGGAAATGCTGCTGTCTGACATAGAGACCAGCATACATAAGAACTTACCACTTTTGGGGGACCACCAGGTGGTGTGGTGGTTAAGGATCTGGAAACTCCCACATGGCCAACCATAGTTCGAGTCTCAGACCTGGTGGCTTGCTTTCTCACTTTCCCTCTCTCTCTCCCTCTCTCTCTCTCTCTTTTTCTGTGTATTTCTCTCTGGTCACATTAAGAAATAAATGAATGAATAGATAAAATTAAAAATCAAGTAATTATTTAAAAAAAGAACTTACCACTTTTATCTTTCAAACAAGTTTCTTCAGAATCGATAGTGATAACACCTAGAAAATGTAAGAGCAAAGGCTAGTCAGTTGTTTATGCCCATTATCTGCAGTGACTGTGTGTGGGGGGGCTGGAGGAATCTTCGAAAGTTCATGGAAAATGCATATTTTGTGGAAAAAAAAAAACTATGTGTGGATTTCTAAATGTTTTTGCACCCAGATAAACTTGTACTACTTGTTACAATGTGTATGAATTGGGTGTAACGGTTTGAGGCACTAAGATTGATAGGACATCAGTTTGAAAAACACCCACATTCAGGACCAGCAGTTAGAGTAATGGCTATGTCACTGGACTCTCACGTAGTCGACCGCAGTTCGCGACCTGGACCCGGTGGCTTAAAACTCACACCGGAGGCCTGTGCATGTGTGGCCAAGATCCCGAGAGGAGAATGGAGGAGAAGGGACTGCCATGTGACTATCCCCCCTGGGGGGTGATTTCTCGCTTTCTGTCTCCCTGTCTCTCTCTCTCTGGCGAGCGCTCGTGCCCTATAACAAAAACCTCTAAAAAAGAAAAGAAAAGAAAAGCACCCACATAGAGGAATAGGATTACTGCTAAAACTGAACAAACACCTTGAGTGGAAAAATGGTGAAATCACTGAGGTTTTATGAAAAATTTATGGGAGCAATGTCCCCCCAAAACCAGCAGTTTACAAATGGCTAAGTCATTTTAAGAAGGGATGAGATGATGTTAGCAGACATCTGCATCAGTTTGCAAGGAAGATCTTAGTCTTGGACCTAATCGTCACATAATTGATTAACAGCAGCAATAATAGCCAGCATCGTAGACATAACTGGTTCAGCTTACAATTCTAACTAAAAAACTAAAGTCGAGCAGATTTTCTGCTCAGAGGGTGCCTAAACTGTTCTGCCTGCACCAGTTGCAGATGAAAGCAGGAATTTCCATCAAAGTCTTAGGCTAATTTAAAATCAAGATTCCAAAGAATTTATCTGAAGAATTGCAAAAGGAGCTCGTACATGGCTTTACCATTAAGATCCTGAAGACAAAACACAATCAAAGCACTGGATACCAAGAGGTGGAAGTGGCTCGCGCAAAGCCCAAGCACACAAGTCAAGAGCAAACGTCACGGCAACAGTTATTTGGGATGGTCATCCTAGAACCCACGACTGACTCCTGCATGTGAAGGACTCTGCTTTGGGGAGCTTTTTCATATAAGTAAAAAGAAGCACCCATACCTTCTCAAATCATGCAAATCCCCAATGTCCCCAGTAGATGCGCATAATCTGGAGGTGTGGTGTTTACTGATACTATGACAAGAGTACCGATAAAGTCTGGGTTCAGTCCCAGTGGTGCAGACAGTGGGATGCTACTGTGTGAAACTGAATCCACGTGTGGAGGCCTGAGTCTGGGTTGACCTGAACATGACAGCAGAGTCTATGATCTTAGTTGGTTGGAAGCCCTGGGGAGGAAGTCCTTCAGATAAGACCCTGTGAAGGGTACATGCTTTACTCCTTTTTGTTCTTTCTCTCTCTTTAAATAAATAAAGTTTTAAAAATTCAAGTGTAAGCTAGTATCTCATGAGAGATCATTATTATGCCAAACACTATGTGAAATGCTCGACAAGCCTTATCTTGACGAATTTCCCCATAACAGATGATTGAGTTGTAGTATGGGTGGTCCCTTGATACAAGCAAGGAAGTAAAATTTCAAAACTATAGGTAACTTGATGAAAGTCATACCAGTGAATGGCAGAGACAGTATTCAAAGGCGAGTTGTAGGGCTTAAAAGACATAGGGCGTGTGGAAAGTACTTTGTAAAAATAATCCATAGAAACCCATAATAAAATTGTAGTGGCTGCGTAACTTCACCAACGTGGGCCCTAAACAGTCTCTTCTAGTCAGGGAACTATTTTCACCAAATGGCCTTTTACTTTATATTCTAGCAACTCAGCGTTTCAGTGTGGTTCTTTCTGGGAGAAGGAAGATAGGCCAAGTCATATTTCTAGTTTTCTGAATACAACCCGAGATGGGAGTTATCTATGATGTAACAAAGAAGGAAAAGAAAAGAAAAAAAGAGGCAAACATACATATAAAGACAATTTTTTTCTTTCTTTTTCTTTTCTTTTCTTTTTTTTTTTTTGAGAGGTTTTTGCTATAGGGCGCATGTGCTTGCTAGAAAGACAGAGAGAGACATAGAGACAGTAAGCGAGAAATCACTCCTCAGGGGGGATGGCCACGCCACAATCCCTTTTCCTCCATTCTCCTCTCTGGATCTTGGGCACACATGCACAGGTGCCCAGCGTGAGTTTAAGCCACCGGGTCCAGTACTTGAACCGCAGTTAACTACATGGGAGTCCAGTGACATAGCCGTTATGCTAACTGCTGGTCCCCATATAAAGACAATTTTTAAAAGAAAAGGGTGGAAGAAAACAAAACCACAATAGTAGTCTTGGATTATTCTTTTTCTAATAGATGTGTTCTTGTTCATTTGGACATGATTCTGCTAAACAATTTTATGTATTCAATGAGATTTTTTTTTCACATACTGTAAGAAATGAATTTCAGGTGTAGGCTTTCAGGTAAGTCTCAAGATGGAAAATGTTAGTACAATCACGTTTGGATATCAAAATAACTTCAAGAACCTAGTAAAATGAGTCTGAAAGTCTCTCTTTGCCCGGACGGTGACTGTTCGTTAAAAGGCAAAGGAAAATCAGCTCTGCTGTGGAGTGCATGCTGGCTGATGCTCTGCTCAGCAGGCTGAGGTCTTATGGGAGCCGTGCGATCAATCCTCAGCCAACCCTAAAAGCTGGGCACCATGGCATGCACCTGTAGTTCCAGCTACTGAGAGGCTAAGGTTTGTCAAGACACGACGAGACTCTAATCAATCAGTCTGCTGGTCAATGGAAATCACTATGCCTTGACTGACTGGCTGCAAACTTGGACCATGTTAGCTAGCGTTTTCTTTTTCTTTTTCTTTTCCTTTCTTTCTTTTTTTAAGGTTCTTGCCATAGGGTGCATGTGCTTTCTGGAGAAACAGAGTGTAAGAGGGAAAGTGATGGATGGTCACAGCTTAATCCCTTCTCCCCCATGCTCTTCTCTTGGGATTTTAGGTGCGCACGTACACATGCCTGGTGTGGTTTCCAAGCTGCCAAGTCCAGCTTGAACCACAGAGTTGGCTATGTGGGAGTCCAGCACCTTAACCATCTGCTGGCCCAATAACCATGTTCGTTTTATGTCCCTTCGGGATCAATTCACTAATCTGTGCTTCCATATTACATTTTAGCTTTTATCAAAAAAAATTCCAAGGGGACCAGCAATTAGCGTAATGGCTATGTCACTGGACTCCCACATAGTCGACCGCGGTTCACGTCCCAGACCCGGTAGCTTAAAACTCACGCTGGGGGCATGTGCGTGCATGCCCAAGATCCCGAGAGGAGAACAAGGGAGGAGAAGGGATTGCAGCATGGCCGTCCCCCCGGAGATGGGGAGTGATTTCTAGCTTTCTGTCTCTCTGTCTCTCTCTGTCTGTCTGGCGAGCACAGGCGCCCTATAGCAAAAACCTCTCCAAGAAAAAAAAAAAATTCCAGAAAAAAACCATAACTATTTCCTGTAGTATGACATTAACGGAAGCATCCCTCCTTGATGTGCTCATGAATTTAGTGCCAAGTAGAACAGATCATAACCTGGAACTTCTCTTACGTATGATGTTCACTATCTGGGAACTTATATTTTTTACTTTTCCCTGATTACTAGAAAAATCAGAAACTAATTGTAAGCTTAAATATGGTAGTTACGGTAATCTTATACTTTACAGAGTTGCCTCCCCTGTGTTTCTTAGCAATGGAAGTGGAATATTAGACAAGTTTAGTTAGCTTTAGGAAAGGATATAAATACCACAAAGAAATGAATAATATATCACACTGTATTTTTAAAAGAGCATTTGATAGATACTACTTCATTTGCTCTTCATCATAGCCCCGGAGACCGTCAAGAGGACTGCTCAAACCTCGGCTGATCACTGCAGAAACCAAGGGACCACAGGAGTAAAGACTTGTGAAATTTGAACTGCCACTCAGCAAAGGTGCTTCCATGTTTCGTTAGATGTGTGTTCCCCACTGGATAGAACAGGCTTGATAACCACAGAGAAAAGTAGGACACATTTGTCCCACTCTGCGGCCTTCAGACTGTGCTGTGCTACTCGGGTCTCTGACACACACTGAGTTACTGAACACTGCCAAGACCAGGGTGTGCCCAGCCCTCTGCCTGCCTGCCGAGGTATGAACGCCATCTGCACCAGACAGACTCCTCTGGGTCACTGCAGGTGACCCCAAGGGATTAGGAAGGGTCTATTCTCTTCACTATGTGGATCCTCAAGACAGTAATTCACGCTCCTCTGTTCACACACAGATCTCCCCAGGTCAGGCGTCCATTAGTGCAAGAAACGTTTGTCCAGCTGCATTTACCAGGGGCAAGAAATACATTTATTAGGGACAAGGAAAGTCTGTTTGTACACATTTGCCTTGTCTGATCTTTAGTTATTAAATTTTCCCCAATACTCATTTATAAATAAAAATCTGAATATGCCAAGGTTGCCGCACAACTGCAGCAGTCAAGTTATTCCATTTCTCGGTGAGCTGTGCTGTTATCTTCAAACGAACATCTTCTTGTCACTAAAACTCATTGTTTATGGGTTAAATAGTGTATGTAGGGAGACTGGCGTGCCTTCGTTTGCTCTTAGAGTGTTCCTGAGGACACGCAATTGTTCTCATTTCCCAATCAAGCATAGCCATGAAGGTAGAAGGCCTTCTTGAGCATTTATCATGTGCTAAGTTTCATATATTTACGTTTAACTTCATTCATACAACAGCCCTAAATGGAATCATATGACCTTAATATGTTGGATGATAAAACAGAACTAAGAAAGTTTAAATACATCTTTTCAAAAATAGTTTCTTCTTCTTGTTTTTTTTAATCTGAAGCCTGTACTGTTTTAACTTTATGGGGAAACAGCATTTATGCTACCATTACATGTAACATTTTAAAAAGATTTAGATTTGTTTTATTAACACTTGAAAGAAAAGATGAGAAAGGACCAGCAGGTAGCCTGATGATTAACAGCCCTAGACTCCCCACATGGTCGGCCATAGTTCGAGTCCCAGACCTGGCGGTTTGCTTTCTCACTTTCTCGCTTTCACACTCTCACTCTGTCTCTCTCTAGTCAAGTTAAAATAAGTTAATAAATGAATAAATAAAGTTAAATCAAATTATATATATATATATGTATATATATAAAGACAGAAAAGGGGTGAGAATATTTTCTTTTAAATTAGTTTTCTGAAAGACTGTATTTGCACACACATACCTTTCCTTATTGGAGGAAAGAGAATCTCTTGATCAATACTTCTTTTATTGTTCTCATGTTTGACGATGCACTGGTGTTCTTTATACAGTGACTTCCCAGTCACAGTCAGCCAGCTAAATTTCATGTACGTGTCATTGGTCTGCATGGTATCTCCCTGCTGGGATTCTAGGACCGTTTTGCCATTCTTTTCTTTCCAATGTACATAAATCACATCGGGGAAAAAATTCTCAAGAAGACAAAGATACGTTCCAGCGTCATGGAGGTTTGTCTCAGCAACTGAAGGAAGAAACGTCGTGGGCTTGGGGGAGAGGTCCATATTAGAGGTTTTGTCTGTAGGAAGAATGGAATAACGATGACTAAGAATAGAGAAACACAGACATCACGTGCTTTGGAACAGCCTAGCGCGTGGTGGTGGGAAGGAAAGCTGCACTGAACGAGCTCCTGCCAGGGCTTTCATCCCGATACATTGCAAGACACTCATCTTTGTCATTATTTCACAGATGCAAAAAGATTCAAAGGTCAAGGAACTTGCCAAGCCACAGTTGTTAAGTGGCAGGGTCTGGATTCAAACCCGTCCTTTATGCATTCTCCACAAGCTTAGAGGAGACATGACTTTGTACTGCTTCAAACTAAGGCTTCCAACATCCATGAGCACATTCATTTTCTAAAAGTTCTTTTGTTTTATCTTCACAGGGCACACCTCCATTGACGGCAAGGATGGGCGGAGACCAGGCCACTTTAATGACCTCTCTGCAGATGAGCTTCTTTGGCCCCTTAAGTGCCTTCCTTTCTCATCCTGAGTCATTTCTGCTCTCTGTGGCCAAATTACTCACACTCATGTTCTGCAATTCCGCGTCACCTCTCTTCATTTAATTGACTCAGGACTGCATCATAGTTACCTTATGTCTCATGTTTATGACAACACACGGTCACTTGTTTCATTGAGAATCCGTTTCCATGTGAACTTACAATAAACTTTCTCTTTTAGCTTCAAATATGGATCCCATGTCCAGTTCTGAGGTTCATGGAGTTCTCGTACTTAATTTCAAACTTTCTATAACACCTCACTCTCAAATCTGAACCACTCTAGATTTTTCAATGCACCTCCAAACCATTCACACACTCTTAAATTTGGAAGCAAATAACAGCATTTCCAATATTTCTATTAAAAATTTTTACTGATTATTTTACAAATGCTTTTTGTTAATCTTATCAAGTAATACACCTATCAGTATGTTGTTTTGCTTTAGAAAATGTTCAGCAAAATCATATTTTATTTGGAATTTCATTTGTAATTTAATCATGACTAGTACTACACCAGAGGTATATCTTTTGTACTTGATTTAATTTGTATTTACCCAATTAGTATGCAGAATTTACTCCTCTCTCTCTCTCCCTCTTTTGCTATATATATATATATATATATATATGCCAACATATCCATATTTTTGACTCAATGTCCCAAAATTCGTGTCTACCTTATATTCTCTCAATTGTCTTGGAGCTCTGTTATTCTCTTTGTCTTGACCGGCTGAACAAAGTGTATATATTAGTGGCATAATGTTGAAAATAAGGCTCCAGAATTTCTTTCAGATGTAATGTCAAATATATAACAAAACTTCACATTTTTACAAAGGCATAACACTTAAATTGTGAATGTTAACTGATTAAACATTTATTTTTAATCTAATGACTGAAATTATAAATCTTTCTAAATTGATTTCCAGTTGAAACTCAAATGCTTTGCTAATATTCTCTTTGGGCTTGTTTGAACTAAGTTTAATAATTCAATAAGAAATTTATTAAGAAAATAAGAATTGGATTTTGAGAAACAAAGGAAAATAATTCTCGAGAATTTCTGCCCTTGTAACAAAGCTACTAATTTTAACACAAAATCAAGAAGCATGCAGTGTGAATTTTTTTGAGCATGCTATACATAAAACTAGATCATAATGTGTTAATTTTATGCATCTTGATTTTAGTACAAATAGTATTTTGTTATAATATTAAGATACTATATATTTTCAACCTAATGCTTTTTATTTTTAAAGTATTTTATAAAACAGGATTGATTTTACAATTGCACATTATATTCATATAATTTTAGTCTCCAGCAAATATATCAACAAATCCAATTTTCATCTTAGATACTTGTTTTTCTGAATTAGACTACTTCTGATTCATTGTACTAAAGAAACTGAAAATCAAATGAAGAACTTGGAGATTTTTTGTATGGTACCCGACCATTTCTTGCCTCTTTTCTCTTTTTCTTCACTAGATTCTTTCAATTTAACTAATTCCAGGATGAAATAAATCTTGAATTTCTATAACTTTCTTATGGAAATAGTTAACTGATGTTAAATAGTGTACTTGATTATATATGCCTAGTACATATATTCTGAATCATTATATTTTTTAATTGCTTTTTAAATCTACTTATTAAGAGTTCTAGGGACCAGCAGATGGCATAATGGTTACATTGCTAGACTCCCACGTAGTTAACTGTGGTTCAAGTCCCAGACCCAACCACTTAAACTCATTCTGGGCGCATGTGCGTGCTTGCCTAAAATCCTGAGAGGAGAATGTAGGAAAAGGGATTGTGGCATGGCCATACCCCCTGGATGGTGATTTCTCAGTTTCTGCCTGTATCTCTGTCTCCCCAGCAGGTGCACATGTCCTATAGCAATAATCTCTCTCTCTCTCTCTAAAAAAAAAATGCTTTTTTGGTGAAACTTTTTTCATGATATTGTTGTCGACCATTCTATTCTATTTAAATAATGAACAAGATGATTACCATATGTTTTATTTCTTTAAGGAAATAAATTTGAGTTAAATTACCTGGCTTGTTGGTATTTTATTAAGATGTAACAGTATGAATTCTATTTAGATTTACCAAATATCAACTACATTAGTTAATATCAATTTTCTTCCTAAGGAGTGACATTAGGTCATTTCACCAAATTCTTCCAGAAACACAACATATGGATTCTATAAGCAGTAACCACTACACAAATGAAGGAAGAGAATCAGTTCAGGAATCCAAGGTCTTGGGTATTCCTGGAGGCCACATGCCAAAGAACAAAGGAGGGTGTGCAGTGAAGCCAAACTAGACCAAAAGCGGTGTCTTGTTTACCCTTTTACCTCTGTGCCAGGCACCAAAACTGTCTTCAATAAATATTTCTGAGAGAATGGATGAACAAATGGGATGTTAAACCATGAAACTCTTTTCGATGGTAGAGCTGAAATTACTCATTGAACTTACAAATATTATTAAACTGGGCCATCTCCAAACAACATAAAAAGAGTCACAAAAAATATAAATTTTTACTGATCTCAACATACCCTCTGAGAAACTAGAGTAATAAGAAAAGGAACATATTGACATATATCAACTTACTCAAGAATTAATTTTTACTGTGTTGTTAGGAACGAGATTCAAACCAAATAATACAGGCTTTGCAGTTATCACAGGGCCACTGTGTTACATCTCAAAATGTAGAGAAGTAATTGATAAATTCCATTTTGATGTTTCTCACTCAAAACACCTACAAGGAGGTCTCTTGACCCCATTACTTGCACCAATGGTTTACAGACACAGTCCTCAAACATTTTAATTTCCAGCCTGAGCCGATCCTTTGTCTGTGTGTGCATTCTAAAAATAGGTTTCAATCTTGTGGACAAGAGAGGGGACCATTTACAAAGCAGCTTTACTTTTATACCGCATTCTAAAAGTAGGGTTTCAATCTTGTGGACAAGAGAGGAGACCATTTACAAAGCAGCTTTACTTTTATACCCAGTAGCCTGTCCCTTTTAAACTGCTGTCCATCTCTGAAGCCAAGACTGTGGCACAATCAGATAAGGTTACTCATTAAATTACTTTTTCTAAAAACATCTGTCACTTTTTCATTATTAGGGAAAAAATAGAAAAGTTACTTACCTGGAGAAGTTACTATGAGCTTTGTCCCCTCTGCAAAGATCTTGATCCAGCCTGCTTTATCACATTGATCACAGCTTTTACAAAATTCTCAGCCTTCTCCTGAGCTTGGTCACTTGACTTAGCAGTTTAACAACTTTGTGAGACTTTTTGATCTTCTAAGTATCTTTGGAAGCCCTTGAATATAGGTTTCATTGTATGCAATATTTTCTAAGTGTCCTCATAAATTGTCTCTTATGCACTGCATTGGTGGTCATTGAAAAGCACCAACAAAAATGAAAAGGGTGAGAGCAGACAGAGAAGAGCAGGCCAACTGGCAACCAACTGTTTAACCAGCTGCTCTTCTAAATTACCAGAAAAAGTATTCAGAGAATTCAGTGTCTCTCTCTCTCTCTCTATTTAACTTCCAGGTATTGGAGTATGTCAAAACCGTTCAAAGATCAGATCAAAGGAAAAGCCCTTCTGTTCTCGCAAACAGCAGAGCCTCTTCATTAGCAACTACGGAATGTATTTCTGAAAGGAGGAAGGTCTTCAGCAATTGAAATGCAAACATACCAACACAGGTACACTTGAAAAATACAAACTAAACTCTCCATTTTCACTAAGGTCACTTTTATCATTTGGCAACATGATTCATTACTAGAGCCATGGCATAGTTTAGTGATGGTGTCTTATATTTCCTGAACTAATAGAAGAAATTTGTAGAACTCTACCTCCATGAAAGAATAGATTTTTTATATTCAGATATAAAGTTACTGCAATTTTAATCAGAATTACTATGTTTTAAATTTTTTTTTTTAGTGATAATGGGAGTTGACAATGAGCTAGATCAAGTTGATTTTAATTTTCTGGGTGACTAACTATGAGATCATTTAGAAGGGGATTTTGACAGTACCAAATAGTCATTTGGCATAAAATATCTTTTTTTTTTACTTATACATTCAATCACTGTACATCATTACAACTTGTAAAATGAATTTTCCCAGCATAAATGTGCTGTATATTAGTACAGCTAAAGATATTTTCATATACATGGTCATTAATAAATAATTTTCCACCTTTCTGCCTCTTAAATGTTTGGTTCTTTCTTTTTCCCCTTGATTCCCTCCCTCTCATCCTCTCTCATTTTTTATCTTCCGCCCATTGTCTCTAGTATCCTCTGTTCATGCTTTTATATCTTCCAGTCTTTCAGTTTCTGCCATAGAGTGCAGACATTCAGTATTTATTAAGTGGGGATATACATACAGTGCCTCTCTTTCATAGTCTGGCTTGCTTTGCCTAGCAGTAAATCTTCCATAGTTGTCCACTTTATGTCAAAGCCAGCATCTTGTTGTTTTCTATGGCTGAATGGTATTCCATAGTATATATTTGCCAGTTTTTTTAATCCATTCATCTGTTAATAGACATTTGGGTTGGTTCCATATCCTGGCAATTGTGAATAATGCCACAATAAACATGAATGTGTAAGTACTTTTCTGCCTGAGTGTATTTCTATTCTTTGGCTAGATACCCAGGAGTAGAACTATTGGATCATATGGTAGTACTATTTGTAGATCTTTGAGGAAATTCCATGTTGTTCTGCACAGTGGCTGTACTAATGTACATTCCCATCAACGGTGTAGGAAAGTTCCCTTTTCAACACTGCCTCACAAGCATTTATTACTTTTTATTCTTTCAACCCTAGTTATACTGATTGAGGTTAGGTGGTATCATTGAGATTTTGATTTGCATTTCCCTTATGATAACAGATGTGGAGTGCTTCTTCTTTTTTTTTTCTTTTTCTTTTTTTCAAATGCTTTTTGTCTGTTCATATGTCTTTCTTGAAGAGTTGTCTGTTCACCTCATTTTCCTATCTTTTAATTATATTTTTGGGTGAGCTGCTTATGTTCACCATATATTCTGGTTATCAGTTATTTAATGGAGGCATAGTTTGCAAATATATTTTCCCATTCTGAGGGTTGCCAGTTCACTCTAATTATTGTCTCTTTTGCTGAACAGGAGCTTTTTTTGTTTTTGTTTTTGGAGAGGTTTTCACTATAGGGCATGTGAGCTCACCAGAAAGACAGAGAGAAACAGAGACAGAAATCAAGAAGTCACCCCCCCAGGGGGGATGGCCACACCACAATCCCTTCTCTTCCATTCTCCTCTCAGGATCTTGGGCATGCATGCACACTTGCCCAGCATGAGTTTAAGCCACCAAGTCTGAGACTTGAACTGCGGTCAACTACATGGGAGTCCAGTAACATAGCTATTATTCTGACTGCTGGTACCATTGAACAGAAGCTTTTTAATCCCACTTGCCTATTTTGTGGTAATTGCCTATGTTTTACAGAATTCTTTGCCCACTCCAATGTTTCCAAGAGTTTCCCGTGTGTTATCCACTAGTAGTTTTATAGTTTGAAGCCTTAGGCTTAGATATTTTTTTTTGTTTTGAGTTGATTTTTGTTAATGATGAGAGAGAGGGGACCAGTTTTATTTGCTAAAGAGGTTTTCTTTTCTCCACTGGATTGACTGGTGCCATTTGTCAAAAAATATTTGGCTGGATGTTTGGGAGTTTATTTCTGGTGCCTCTACCCTTTCCTATTATAGGTTCACATGCCTGTTCTTGTGTTAATACCATGCTGTTTCTATTATCAAAGTTTTGTAATATATTTTTGGGTCAGGAAGTGAGATGCATCCTACTCCATTCTTCTTGTGCATTATTGCTTTGCAATATGGGGTCTTTTATGATTCCAGATGAATATATATATATATTCTTGACAGTTAATAAAGAACTTTCAAAATACTGAATTTTAAAGATAATGCTCAAAATATTTCTTATAATTTTGTTTGTGACTCTATAACAACAGAAACAGTATGGTTTTAAATATTTTTCCAGATAATATTTACATGTCAAGTACTCAAATTGTTGAAAAGCAAATGCCCAGCACACTAGTCACACATAAACCTTCTCAATTCAGCTCTGCCTACCAAGTATTTTGTGATCTACCATCTGCTAGCAAAGATCAGTCTCTTTTTCTTACTTCAAAGTCTTTCTCAAGATAATCCTCTGGTGTGGTTGCTCTTTTGCAATCTCTACTGATTACAATGCTGGCTGGAAAAGTCTGGGTTATTTTATGTTATAAATTCTTTCATGTATCTTCTCTAATCCTCTCTGCCGGGCAGGACTATTTATGGTGCCAGGCCATATTTCTAAGAGCTTCTGTTGGCTTACTTGAGATTCACCTAAGTTCCATAGTTTTCTGACTGATCTTCAGATATGACATTCCAGGCAAAACCCTGTTCAATAATGAGTATTTCCAATTTCTGATTCAATGCGACAAGCATTATTGAACTTACGCAAATAACCCTTCTGCCACAAAATAAGAATACTTCCAAATATTTCCAATTCAAGAGGGATCAGGAAGGAA